TTCAGACGATCCCCAGGACTATATGGACAGCTGTCACGAGGTGTTATGGAACATGGGGATAGTGGAGACCAATGGGGTCGACTTTGCTACATTTCATGTGCCGGGATCTGCCATGAAATGGTGGAGGGATTATATGTTGGCCAGACCAACTAGGTCGCCGGCTCTTACTTGGGACCAGTTCTCTCAGCTATTTCTTGAGAAGTATCTTCCTATCACTCAGAGAGAGGACTATCGGAGGCAGTTCGAGCGTCTACAACAGGGTTCTATGACTATCACTCAGTACGAGACTCGATTTATGGATCTGGCTCGCCATGCTATTCTCACTCAGAGTTACAGGAAATTCCAGTATTCGTGGGCACTAAGATAAGCAAAGCACTCATGCAGCAAGTGGCAGAACGACCAGGAAAAGTTATTTCTTACATTTAAAGACACCTAAGAAGGCACGAAAGGAAATATATGGTGCTAGCAAGTTAAAGGAATATTGCGAGTAGTATAAATAGATATGTGTAGGTCGCAAGCTAAAGTACCGTAGAGTGACAAGGTTTTACGTAGATAGGAGTAAGGATAAGAAAATGCGAGTAGAAATTGACAAGAATAGGTAAGACCTCGGGATTAAGCCCATCAAACAAGAGAGTTGATGGTTTCCGTATGTTATACGAAGCTCAGTATAGCCTGAACGAACTCAGAGGTGTCTACTACTAGGAGCAATTAGAAGAGATGAAATGTTGCCTTGGAAGTAAAATAAGGGTGTAATGGTGATAGATAAGAGGATGACGTTTAGGCCTTTGATTGAGTAATGATTTTAAGAAAAGGGATTTCATGAATTGCACGGGATTAGAATACTCCCCATAAGATGAATCACGTTGGAATGCTATGAAATACGGTTATTGAAGTATGGTATCATCCCTATGTGGATCAGGAAAATGAATTCAAATGTTCCCTGATGAGACATAAGCCCTAGTGACAATGTATTACGTAAGAGGTTTCAAGCTATTAGTGGTGGATTATAGATCAACATTAAGGTGAATCAACAATAGATGGATAAAAATTCCAAAGTATGAGAGGAGATTATGATGCCATTCTTTAGATGACCAGTAATAAGGAGGCATTAAATGGCTTAGATTTATACATATAGGATAAGAGGTGAGAGAGTAACCTGGAGTTGAGTATCAGACCTCGGTAATAATAAACCGAAGTAAGAGTTAGGGTATAGTATGACCTACCTAGATGTAGTAAAGCCATAAGAACAGATAACCGAGTCTATGAAGCAAGGTATAGCAATAGTCGTAGGTTCGACAAATACCAAGTGAAGAACTTTAGTACACCTATAGATGCCTAGAGGGACATCTTGTCATAGTTCTGTATATGTTCACAAAGTAAGGCCTAGAGATTGGCTAAAAACTGGAGGAAAAAGGATAGAAGAGTCGCATAGGCGCACATACAAAGTCAGAATCGTACAGACTGCATGAAAGAAAGTAGAAACAATTACGAGATTGGAAGAATTCCGACCAAAACTTGTGGGGTGAGAAAGAGGCCTAAGGGGGGAATACCCTGGCCAATGGATCTATTCACCGAACAGTTCCGTAGATGGCAAAGACAATATTAAAGTATTCATAAGAGCTATTTCTTAAGAGACGGATAAGTGCATAAGTCAACATTCAAGGACGAATGTTCCAAGGGGGGAAAAAATGTTACACCCCATGTTTTCGTACGTGAGAGTACGTCGTAAGTCAATTAATGTAAGCTCAGAAATAAGATTATATTTGGAAGCATATAAAAGTAAGTTAATCATGTTACCTTGGAGGTTACAAATATTTAAGATCATGAATAACGAGTACCAAGAGGGTTGGAAAGCTTAGAATCTAAACCAATTGAAGAAAATAAGTTTCGTCGAAAGTCGACAAGTTTAGAATGTTATAACATTTACTTTGTGTTGAGACTAGGTTTCTTAACATGATATAGAAATTATGCTATGAGTTATTTTAGTCGTATGATAGTCATTTGCTATGTTTTGAAGGCAAGCAAGCTGTGAAATAAAAGTTTCCAAAGGTCATCACAAGTTACATTCATAATGTGCTGAAAATAAGGTCAAATGTATCTGAGCTTTTCTCCCAATATACTTGGATTTATTGGATGTTCTACCTACCAAATTGATTGTAGTCACTGACAATCTTCCTATGTTTATTTACTGTTGTTGTTTCAGATAATATTTTTGTAGTTCAGACTTGTATTCCTACTGTAGAGCTCATGCCTCAGTGTTACAAGTTCTGGGGAGTTCTATTATGATTTTAAATTACCTATGGTTATTTATCTTCCAAGCTTATTTATTCTGTAATTTGTTATCATGTTTTTTTAATATTTCATGACTGGCTTGCCTAGCAAGTCGGTTAGCGCCATCACGACCGGTGGTTTTTTTGGATCGTGACACCTACACCCACACCCTTCTCACGTGACATCAAGATAGTACCATCACTTTCTTAAGCATCCAAGACCTCTCATGCTGACTCAAACTCATGACCTTCCTTTTGAAAATGAACTGCAACATTTTTTATTCAATCCCAATCTCACATGACTCACTGCATTTATCATGATGTCATGTGAAAATACGAGAATTCTGCTATCAACTCCAAATCACAAGTAGGATAGTTCCCTTCATAAGCACTCTATCGCTCAGAAGCACACTACTTAATTTAATTCAGGAGACAATCACATCATGCGACAAACTTTCTACCCCTGTAGAAGATATCAATCTCAAAGTCGTGGTCAAAACCATCATAACTCTTCGAAGTTCATTGGCACATAACCAAGCCATTAGAAATAAATCTCCCTGAATCAACCGCCAAACCCAAAAGTCCAACTGCAAAAGTGTCCATAGTAGCCAATCACCAAAGAAACCGATCATTGATATTTCCATGCTGGTCCAAGTCATTGTTGTCTGACCCTTTTCTTCAGATTAATATCATTAATGATTAAATAGTAATCCTATTTCCAACTGACTAGCCCATTCCGTATCTGTCTGTTATAATTATTTATTGTACGTTATATAATTGATTCGTAACTGATGATATAATAATGATAAATTTCGTATATTCAAGATTAATTGATTATCCCCTCATTCTTAATTATGAGTGACTCTTCGTACCAGGACTGATGCAATTCTTTCAGTTCTGGGACTAATGATTATAGTACTAATATGTTTAGTTTTGAGTGTACTTTACACGTTATTCTTCACTTCCTTCGTAATTTTGCTTGACACGTGTTACCTTTTAAATGGTCCATGTGACGAATTTATTTTTTTATTAACACAATGATACTTTTTTAGTCTGTCCTAGAAAAATAAGTTACATTTAAAAATAGTTTAGTTTTAAACTTTTCATATTAACCTAGATGCGATGATTTATAGTTACACAAATATTTGTAGTTTGTTTTAGATTATAAGTATTAAAAGTCTTTTTATTTTAGTTTCGTGCTCAATAAAAATACATCACATAAAATGAGACAAAGTAAGCTATTTCATATTTTTTTAAATTGACATGAACTAGCTAGAAAAGAACAAAAAAGGAGAAAGAATAACAGAAAATACAAGAAAGCCAATTTCCATGCATTGCATAGATCCAATTTGAAGTACAAAGTACAATGCACCGAGTAGTTGGGTAGGTGGCAAAATGCAAAATTTGACAAGAAAAAGTATATTCTAAGTGCTCCAATCTTTATATCACGAAAAATGAAAAAACAAAGCATAACACCTAATGGATTACACAACATTGATTGGTTTCCATTGATAGGAACAATCCATGATTTTGAGTCTTAGGAGTCAATACATGAACAATTCCTTTATTTGGAGTGTCCACTTTTTGTGACACTTGGCACCACCATTCATATTTCTACTGCCATACGGCTTCATAGGGAACTAATCCTATTGTTTTATTATGTTGGCGTTGTATTCTAATCATAGAAGCCGCCATGTTTACCCGGAAGTCCGTCCGTCCACTCTTTTTAGTTTTAGAAGGCATTAATAAGTGTCTTGAGATATTTGTTTTCATGTCTGATGTATGTTGGATATCTCATAAGTGGTATTATAATCTGAAAAAGCGAATAATAAATAAATTACTATAAATAATAAGCGGTATCATTTATTATATTTATTCTTAATATTTTTATTTTTTATACATATCTAGTAAAAAAATTACGAAACAATGTCTCATGACATCGCATGCAACAAAGTGCATACGCCTCTAATTATAATATGATGGATAGAATTCATGTACCCTGTCTTAATTAGAAGTTGCATATTTGAGCTTTGAGAATAAAAAAAATTCTGATAACAAATACTTTTCCTTTTAATGTGTCTTACATGACATGAAATTAGTTAGACCTTAGAAAAGTATTAGAGACCGAATGAAAAACCAAAATAAAATATTTGGGTAGATCATAATATTATTGATAATTGAGTATTCGATTTATACTCTACTACTAATTCTTCGTTTATAAGTCAAATTCTTTCTAAAATGCTAATCATATATATTTGTGTTTCACTCCATCAGAATTATAGGGCTAATATGCTTAATATTAAACGGATTGATGCTCGACCGGTTAATTGAAAACAGACTTTAAATTTGTTGGTAATATGTTCACGCTAGTTCAAATTAATGATACGTAAACCAGTTAATAAAGAATATAATAAGCTTTTACAAACTTAGGTTTTATTGCTTGAGCTGATAACGTTGAAGTGAAAATGCAAACTAATAGATCATAATGACCTCCTAATTCCATGTTTCAAAACCTTACCTTATTCTGAGAATCAAATGAAAAATATAAAAATCCTGAATTATGATCTCTTATCCTTTTATAATAAAAACAAAATACTTCCAATAGCTCCATAATAGAACCTTCTAATTTTAATCCTTCCATGTTATAAATATTAGTTTAAGTCATATCTTCTAGTTGTTTCAGGAAATGCTAAGTCATAATTAAAACAAAAACACTTCTAATTGTGCTTAGAAAAAAAAAAGGAAAATTACATTTCCAATGGTCACTTTTTCATTGAACTGTTGACAAAATTATGAGTACAACAAGAAGCCGATTGACTTTGACCTTCCTACTTCATCGAGATTCAGCCTTTTATCACTTCGATCCATACAACGAAAGAAAAGTGTTGGCCAATCGAGACTTCTAAATCCAAAGGGAAGATTAATACCCCGTATGAACCAAATCTTTACAAAAACTAAATGAACATAATCATGATTTAGATTGCTTTCCCAAAATACATTATTCTTTCACTTCACTTAACTTAGCATTTGCACATTAGAGCTCATCAAATGAGAAGTCTGGCATGACCTAAAAGAACTTAAATAATCCACAGGCTGTGCCATCAATGTTGTGGAAAATCCAGTAATCATTGGCCTATTAACAGCAGCTTGTTCCAAAGATTTGAGTTGTTTTTTCAAAAACTTAACATAATGAACAGCCTCATCTAGCATTGAAGCTGTGTCCATTTTTGTACCACCAGGAACAAGTCTCTGCAAAATCCTTATCCTCTCGCTTATTTTTTCCCTCCGATGCCTAGCTGCAACGCTCTGTGGATCCTTCGATATCTTAACGTTCTTTCTCTTAGGCGGTTTTACTGATTCTGGATCAATGTGGATAGGTTGCATCATCGCCATACGAAAAATCATCTCCCTCATTGCATCCATTGAACTCCGTTTCTCAATATCAAGAGTCTCGTCGTGCATTGATAAAAGATGTGGCGCGTTATGTTCATCGATTGAGTTGGGCATGAAGGACAAAGAGTGAGCAGAAGTAGTCATCATATAATTAGAGTTGTGATTTGGTAGCAATTGAGTCATTTCAATATTCTTCATGGATTGTGTAATATCATATAACTCCATGATTTTTGAGAACTATATATGTTGGGAATAAGAAGATAGAAAAGTTGGGAATGAAGAAAATATTGGAAAGAACAGAAGGATGTTAAATATTCAAGGGATGTCAGAAGAAGAAATTTTCCTATGAGCATAGCATGGAGATGTCAGTGATATATATATGCATATTTATATTGCAAGTTGTGACCTACTCCTATGTTTATATATTTACTAAATATCCACTATACCAAACAATGCACAAACGATAAACATCACTCTAGAAGTTTATATATTCAATATTCTTCTTTACAGTATAAGAATGAAGTAAAGAATAAAGCGTCAATCAGATACTTATAAGGTCAGCTATATAAATTCTCACTGTCCATGTCATTTTATTTCATACTCATCTTAGTCCAATATTACATATATATGATGTAACGTGTGTATCTAGGTCAGCCCATCACAAAGTATACTTTGTTGTGAGGTTTCCTCATTAATTTACTAATTTTACGCTAGTTATATGCCAACTTACTACAACTCTTCTCCTTCATTCGCGTTTGGAACCACCGATACACACACACACACACACACACACACACACTTATATATATATATATATATATATATATATATATATATATATATATATTATAATTATGAAGTGCATGAGTAGTATAATATGTCAATTTGATATAATTCCAAAGTAAGAATAACTTCAAATAGCTAAGATTAAAATGAATGAATGAATGAGGACTGGAATTCCATGGACATATACTCCCCCCGTTCCATTTTACGTGAACCTATTTCATTTTTGGCCCGTTTCAAAAAGAATGACCCCCTTCTATATTTGGAAACAATTTAGTTTAAACTTACAATACTACCCTTAATGAGAAGTTTTTATAACCACACAAATAATCTGGACCCCTTTTTGACTTGTTTAGGACCACAAATTCAAAAAGTCTTTATTTTTTCTTAAACTCGGTGCCCAGTCAAACAGGCTCACATAAATTGGAACGGAGGGAGGGTGAAATTATCGGGATATAATTCCATACATAAATTGAGAAGCTCCCCGATCAGATCAAAGAAGGAGAATGCAAATGAATAAGGTGCATGAACCAAAATCAACCCATCACTCAAAGAGTTAAACCAGTTATGGTCCTGAGTGAAAAGCTATAGCTTTGCCATGAAAATTAACTTGAGAAAAACTCAGAACGGTAACCCCACAAATCACATGACATATGTCAGAAGGATAACAACTCTGGTTTCAGAAGTGGGGTAGCAAAAGAAAGAGCGACTTACCTGTAAAGTAGAAAGTATTTCTAGTTTTGGATATAAATTTAATAAGGTAAAGAATATTTACACTAACACTATATTTTATCATGTTGTAGGTAATTAGTGGCGAAACCATTCAAAGTTTAATATATATCCGTAAAAAGTAATTTTTGATCTACGTGCATAATATAATTTTTATATATTCAGTATAATTTTCCGATGAAAGGTGACTCTATGTGGCTATGCCACTGCATGTACCTTGTCTCATTTTTTTATATTCTTGGTCTCACTTTTTAGAAACGGTTACATGTAAGTATCGAAGGGAGCCTTGGCGTAACTGGTAAAGTTGCTGCCATGTGACCAGGAGGTTACAGATTCTAGCCGTGGAAACAGCCTTTTGCAGAAATGCAGGGTAAGGTCAGGCAATTCTCCAAACCCCGCGCATAACGGGAGCTTGGTGCATTTAACTATCCTTTTTACATGTAAGTATCATTTAAGCAATCTGATCATAACGTAAAAATTCGTTTACATTAAATTGGTATATTTTTACTTTCAATCTGTCACCCATCCTGCATACCTGCTGCAACTGCATTTCTGTAATAATGCTTCCATATGGCACTCATCTCGATCCTGATTTTGGAAGTTTTTAGGAATTTACTTGCACCGACTCTCTGTTCACAACTGTTTTGAATCACATGATATGCTTGAAATTTACTTCTCTAGGTAACTATCTAAAGGTCTGACTGCTTCAGGTGAATCATTAACTCAGGCACCAATTGAGTTTACGTGTTATATATACAGTGACGGTCCAGAAATATTTTATGCTATCACTGTAATTCAACTTATTGCAGTAGGTTGTTTATCTTATTTTTACAGACAATTAATTTTAGTTATTAGACAAAGTTTGATGTAATTATCTTTTTAGTAATATGATAATGTAAAAATTCTCTTACAATATCAGTGATTAGAGGTTAAAGTCAATCATGAAATTCTTATTGTTGCGTGTTGGTGCACACATGAAAAAATGTTTATTACTACACTTCTCGAATGCTAAGTTAGAATATCCATAAACTATTGTTTTCTTAATTATATGATTTTAGCGATCCTCACAACGCGAGCTAAATTTTAGGTTAAGTCGCTCCAAGACCTAGTTTTTTCTAATGGTGTTAGAGTCAGACCTATTCTTGTTCTTGAATTATCCAATGTTGGAGCATGAGTTATAATGTGTCAACGCACCAAATGTCTAGTTATGAACATGCGGGGCAATCATCTCATATCGGTTAAAGAAATTATTGTTGATCTCGTTATATTATCTCGAGGAACTCTCATTTCATGATCTAACTTTTGAAGTTTAGTTAGGACTAATGTCCATTTACTTGGATGCTCTGTGAATAAATGCAGAAATAGCAGCAACAAAATCAAAATGGGGCCTGAGTACTTTGGTTTGGATTCGGTAATAGCTTATATAATAGGATAAATAATTTTATCAAGATGACCTCTGCAACATCCTAATGTAGCAGAGTAGCAGTCAATAATTTGATCAACATGACAAAAGAAAATTCAAATGTTCCAACCCACTGCTGTTGGTTCTAGTGTTCTATATGATTTCTTTGTGTTATGCAACAATATTAGACATCGACACTGCCCTACAATCCTAATAATATGTCATATGAGGAACTTTTATATCAAGATTTTAAATCCTTTCATCGGTGTATTAGATAACATGTACAAAATTATAATATTGCTCGGCTAGTGGTTACAAGATAACTTTGTTTTTTCTTTTTTATTTCGGGAAAAGGTATATAAACCTTCTAGACTTGTCTGATATTTTCAGTTATACACATATTTTTTGTGAGGATTCTATGAAATGTGAACCGTCTGTAAGTTCTTATGAAAGTACCTCACAGTTATATGATCACATAAAATTTACATTTTAAGCTATTTTATTGTGAACCGACAATAGATTATATATTTGTCACGATTCCAAATTTCCACCGTAGGATGTCGTGATGGCACCTAGTCTCTAAAACTAGGTAAACCTAACATTCATTGAAAATTTTAATTGAAATAACAGCTAAGATAATAAAATACTGATAAAACTCATAATAACTGATCAAAAGCGGAACATCAGTAACGAGATCCCCAAAACCGATAGAACTGAGTCATAAGCTCTACAGAAATGTACTAAAATCTCTAATACAACACCGTCGGATAAAAGGAAAAATAGTAATAAAGGAAATAACAGAAGGTGACTCCGAGGCCTACGGACGTCCACCAGGTATACCTTGAAGTCTCTGGAAAGATAATTGAACGATCACTAGCGTCTGGCACGAGCAGATGTACCTGGATCTGCACAAAAATGTACAGAAGCATTGCATGTACACCACAACAGTAGCCAATAAGTATCAAGCCTAACCTCGGTAGAGTAGGTACGAGGCCCGATCAAGACACTGACTAGGACTAGAAAACTGAACAGAGAATAGTAATAATCAAATAATGGAAGACGAGGAAATGAATGACAATAAAGCAGTTCAATAATATAAGCTAACAACGGAATTTAAAGCAATAAAAGCAACAAGGAGTGAACACATGATAGAACAACAAGAAACCGATACGGACGAATACAAGTAAGGCGAATAAAAAGATAACAAAACTGTTCAACCAACACGCCTCTTTATATTAATACAGAATGTACAACAAGAATTACAACTGAGGTACCACGCCTCATATCCACAATTCACAATTTAAAATTATAACTTTTTGTTATACCGCCGCATGAGCCGTACCAATAGATATTTTTGAAAATATTTTGTCCCAAAATAGTTACACGCACTTTAGCCCCCTTATGATGCCGCGTGGCTTCAAGTAATTCTATTACTAGCAACACGCACATAAATCCCGCCTTATGCCGCCGCATGCACATCAACCCTTATCCTTATAACGTCGCATGCGCATCAATATCACAACACAAGAAGAACTCGCACCGCAAGTGCCCATATGCCACAACTTGCCAAAATCAACAATACCAATATTACCACAATATTTAGCTCATGGCTCAATCACAATGTATACAAGAATCTCAATAATAACAAAATGAATGAGAATTACTCAACAAGGAAAGATTATCTCAATAATCAACAACTTCAACCTCAATGCAATAACAACTTTCATAACTTCAACTTCAATAACTCAAATGAAGTTATTCCAACGAAAAAATAACTTCCAATTCAATTGTATAACGTAATCTAAACAAAAAAAAGATAGTATGACATAGAAACTACATCTAAATGCATGAGAATAATTCAACACGAAGAGACATCATGAAATAACAATTTCAAATAAAAATAACTCAACAAATAAAAAGGCACATGACAATAAGAGAGATAACAACATCAACTAAGGCATATAAGAGCATGTTTGACAATAAAAGATAGAGCATGTGATAACAACATCAAGTAAAGCATGTAAGAGCAATTTAACAATGGAAGATACAACAAGATATTACAATTTCTTATTAAATGCATGAAAAAGCCTAAGAGTCTAAACCAGTCATATTATTAAATATAAGCATGTGCACACACTCGTCACCTCATGTACACGTCTTTCACATAATCAAATAGTACTATCAAACACAATCCTAAGGGGTAGTTCCCTCACACAAAGTTAGGCAAGATACTTACCTTAACTAAGCCAAATCAACCCTCGAAAATAGCTTTTCCCCTAAAACTCGCCTCCACACAGCTCAAATCTAACCGAAAAGTATTTAATAACATCAAACAATGCAAAAGAAACCAATTACAATAGATAAATCTATGATGTTTACACAATCCCCCAAAAGTCAACAGGAGTTAACCCCGGGCCGGCCCGGTCAAAACA